TTCCTGGTGATCTGTGCTCTCATTTTGTGGTTCTCAGATGAGTTATTGTTGGTCGCCCTGCGGCTGGTGTTCTTGGCACGAGGGGGGGAGTCGGACCAGGTTGTCTGCTCTGGGGAATTCATTAAGTGTCCTGATTACAGAGGTTGCTAATGACTTGTCTCTCCTGGGCGGTAATGCTATGCATGCATTCCCAAATAAAAGGAGATTGTGCCACGATCCAGAGGTTCTGGGAGTATTGTTGACCTTTGTCAGCAGACTGGTGAGTTTGGCTGCTGCTTGGTGACGGGCAGCCTTGGGGATGTGGGGCAAGGTCCTGGTGGACGTTGCTTTGACTGCTTCAAGCAGATTATCTGCTGAAATGAAGTTGAGGGAGGTATTGTTCCTCACTCCTGCAGCAGGTTGTCCATCGTGACTGCTCCGGGGCAGGCGCCTAGACCCTAGACAACCACCTGAATTGACAGAATGATAGCGGACAGTTCCATTTGAATTGAGACGATACCGTCTGTCACACACTTGACAGTTTCCTCTTGGGTGGTCATCTTCTTGGCTGGAAAGAGGCTGTGTGTCAGGTGCGACATGTGCCATGCCTAGATGTGATGACGCCTGGCTGCCCACTGAGTGCACCCTCTCCTTCCCAGGTGGAGAGTAACACGGCAAGCATTACCCTCCTGGGAGAGTTGGGCATGGCCTGGGCACCGTGTGTGGGTAGGCTGTGTTGATGGGCGGCTGGCTGGGTCGGGCGCAGGTAGCAGTTATATATATTTGTGAATTATATATATATATATATATATATATATATATATATATATATATATATATATATATATATGGAAGGGAGTACCACCTCTAGCTGGAAGAAGGGGGACCCATAGCCTCGGAGGAAACCACGCATAACGCATTAGAGGGAATGTTTAGATCCCCTCCAATACAGTTTCTGTGTGCTTTTCTCCTACCACCCCCTTCCTTTTTTATTTTTTGTGCTTTATTATGCATTTGATGGTTACAAGATATACATGGGTTGATACAAAAATAATAATGCAAAAAGGTGCTTAAAGGTTATGGATCTCTTGAAAAACACAACAATGGGAAACATTGATGAATGTCACAGACGGGTTCGATCATTGTTGCAAGTCAAACACTTCTTCGAATTCCTCTGAAGTTGGACTAGTGCCCAAGACGCAACAGGCATTTCCCCTCTGAATCGCAACACTCAGGCGCTGGAACAAGAAACTTTTTGCTCTCTGGTCTTTTGTAGCGCTGATCAATTTGTCCCCCAATTCCTTCAGGAACTTCAATGCACATTTTCCCCCACGAACTGAGGGTCTCCGAGCCGATCGGAACAAAGCTGTAGCAGCGTACGTGCTAGACCTCTGTATTTAATAATTTTCTGCGATTCCCTAAAAGAAGCAGCACCACCGCTTTCACGTGTGCTGTAGTGGAGGTGCCACACTGGCCAGTGTGGCAGCGCACGTGTAGTCCCATACCACTTGCTTACCATCCTTCCAAGGTAGCAAGGTGACCCCATCAGGGCGCTTCTGAGGGTCGTTAGGTCTGGATAAGTGTGGTTCTCTTTGTGCCGGACAGCGGGCTATGGCGAGGCTCCTCTTGATGATGTCATTGACTTCTTCATGTCTTGCAATTTTACCCTGTGATTTACGACATACCAGACCATGACGACCATATTGGTCTGCCATCGCAGTTCCGCAGATGCACCTATGTTCGGTGAGGATGGGGGCGGCAAGGCGAAGGGCAACTCCAATGCGGAGAGCGTCATGATTGAGGCGAGTTCCCAGGGCTGCATTGGGCACAGCAAATAAAAAATCCCCGGCGTGGGGTGCTGTTACCGCTAGGAGGCGGGCTTTGTTTTCAGCATCAGCGTTGTCAATCATTGCTGTGACAGTCTTTTCCATTATGGGGCTATCCCAGTGGGCCTGCTTGTGGTCTTTTGGGACTTGTGGTCGGGGTTGAGGGTGTGCAATGGTGTCCCATTGTCTGGCTGCTTCGATGAACGTTTGATCATGAGTTCCCGCTGTCTCTCTCATACGCTCTGGTAGGATCTGCCCTACCAATTCGTTGGCTGCTGTACATGAGGATAAGAATGCTGGAAGTGCTACCTCAGTTGCCTTTCGTATGCCTATCCCTCCAAATCTCACTGGTAGTGTTGCTTGGTCCCACTGACTGTCATCTAAATCTAGGTTGAGCGCCTTCCTGAATATTGACCTGAGGAGCTCATCATATTGATGTAAAAGTGGGTTGCCAAAAGTTGGTGCACACCTTAAGAAGTATGTTAGCCTGGGCAAGGTAAGGCACTTTGTGAGAAGGTAGAGGGCATCGTGGGAGTCCAAGTCCCCAATTCTCTCTTCCATCCTCTTTAGGTCTCTAAACTTTTCGTCAAGGACTGCAGCAATGGCATTGTGGCCCAGAGGTGCTCCGAGTAGTGTGCTGTCGGTAGGTTTAACGACTGAGGCTTCTGGTAAAACTGATTTCACTGTGATTACTAATGATTACTTCACTGGATGCAATAATTTCGCACTTGGAGGGGTTAAGAACGAGACCCATGGACTCCTCCCGTGTCTTCACCAGCTGTAGGTCTTCTAGCAGGGAATCTTGTGTGCCTGCCAGAGTGCCATCATCCAGGAACCAGATGTTGAGCTCACTGGACAGTCTGGTTGTAATTTCTCGAACCGCTATGCATACCGCTATATATATATATATATATATATATATATATATATATATATATATATATATTATGATGGAAAAAAGAAGTGTAGGTGTTCGGCAATCTTCCTAATAGTTGGTGTCAATGCCAATCACATTTACAAAAAAAAAAGTTGACTGCGTGGCTGTTGCCTCCTGTGGTAAAATAAGGGAAAACACGCAAAACAAATCGTATGAACAATGAAACTTTAATTAACTTGAAAACAAATATGAACAAAGACAATCCCTTGGCTATGTACAGTGCAAACAAACAAGATAATAAAGTAAAAAAAAATTACATAAAATAAAACAGCGGTGACGTTACTCTACAATGAATAAAGACAAAAAATTAATTAACAGGTGCTGAGAATATTTGCTGGTTAAACACATCCACTATTACACAGAACGTATATTAGATAGGTGTGTCAGCTTTGAGAGCACAGAATATTCTAAATCCAATGCCTTGTGCACTCTCAGTCATCGGCTATGTAGATGGCACTGAAGTGGAGTGCACACGATGATCCACCAATGGGACGCGTGCTGGCTGGAAGTGGTGGTTTGGTGATCGACGAAGGTGGAGGGGGGAGGTGGAGAGCGAGTGTCGGATATGTATGCGTGTGGCAGAAACGTATTTTACTCAATACGTACTACACTTGTTTATAGTATCTAAATGTTGTAGATGTACTGAAGTAACATAATGAACGGAAAGAGCAGGCCAAATCTCTCTTGAAGGAGATTATCGTAACAAATATATATATATATATATATATATATATATATATATATATATATATATATATATATATATATATATATATATATATATATATATATAAAATTAAACTACCAAAATGAACTAATGTTAATGTTAAATAGCAACCTGTACACTGTATAGTGCACAGTAGGCCCTGTAATTTGATTTATATATATATATATATATATATATATATATATATATATATATATATATATATATATATATATATATATATATATATATATATATATATATATATATATATATATATATATATATATATATATATATATATATATATATATATATATATATATATATATATATATATATATATATATATATATATATATATATATATATATATATATTTGTTCTCTCAAAGGACCAAATCAAGATTTCTGGACTGCCCAAGGTGAACTGCCCTCCTCAGCACAACTGCCTCTTTATGTCATCTCTGAGAACATAAACGTCATTAGCTAGACAGACAGTATACTGGGAGGCCCTAGGATAACACCCTTCCATCGGGGAATTGAAATTGTAATTGCTTTCACAACCTAGATGGCATTGATATCATTACGTCACCCACCAGAAGTCATCATCATCGACCTCACTTTGTTACTGAAGTATGTAACAGGAGCCTTTCAACAACGCCGCACCACTGCCAACAGATGGCTTTGTCTGCGTCTCGCCTAATATCTGGGAAGTGGAGTGCAGGTCCATAGATGGCACCGAAATCGCCAGTCCCCACTCCGGCGATGGTGTTGATACCGTAACACTCCTGAGTACCTACTCACTGTAAGTTATCTTACTTATCGGATGGGCTCATCCGATCCCTTGATCATCGTCGCCCTGCAATCAACAACAACCTACATACTGCTAGGTGAACAGTTGCATAAAGGGATAGGAAATGTGCCTAACCAGTTCTGTCCTGCCTGGGATTCGAACCCCGGTATTCTCGATTGTGAGTTGAGAACGAACCTGTCTGTACTACCAGGACTCATCTCCAATAAATAACAATTGAGAGTGTAAACCCCCTTGTGCCTCATCTTCATCTTCTGTCCATTTCCCAGCCATGATAAAAGCTTATTAAGAATTCATTGTGTAGACATTAGGCAACTATTATGATCCAACTGAACTTACAATGAAAGTGAAGTTTGCTTAATATTGTATACATATGTGTCGGGCATTATATACACATATAGTTTAATTATTATTAAATTATGTGAATATATATTGGCCGAAACGCTATGCATGTTAGTGGCTTTTCAAGAATGTAAAAACACCATAATTTGGTCTCTTATGAGACCAAATTACATTATTTACATTATGTACTCAAGTTGAAGTACTTTTATTAAGACATAAAATACATCTCAAAAGGATAGAGTGGCTTAGGTTATTTCTACCCTCTCCTTACTATGTACTCTCACAAACCTAATGTACCTTTTTGTAAATGAATAAAAATAAAATAAATAAATTAATAAATATAGGGAGCATTATAGAAGGATGCTGAATTGAAGCATGTTCTTGTCATCATCCACAGACCCTTATGAGACCAAGTTGGAAGACTGGATAGTGTTCCAGTACCTGCACTGGAAGCACGTCCAGCAGAGGCTAGAAGTGCCGGTGACCATCCAGTTGGCGCCCTTTGCCAATGTTTCATACAACGTCTCCCTTATGCGTTGCCAAGATGATTGCAGTAACTTAGCCCTGACAGATAACAAAACTTTTGATGGACCTACAAGGTATTTAAAGTGAAGGGACAAATATTTTACATTCAGATATGGGATTACCGAGAAAATATTGAGACCACACAATGGGATCGAACCTGCGTCCCTGTACTCCCCCAGGCACACAAATAATCGACTGAACCATAGCCTGTCCCTTGGGAGTCCAGGGACGCGGGTTCAATCCCATTGTATGGCCTTAATATATTCCATAGATGCATCACGATTTCATGATTTTTTGTGAACGTGATTATTCTTTATTATATTTTGATCATTAAATTAATTGTTGCTGATTAAAATAAACAATTCTAGAGTTAAGTAAAAGGTAGTTTAGTAACAAATGAGCTTAGTGTTAAGACTGTACTAAGGTCAGTAGTTCAACTTAAACCCAATTGTTTTGACTCAACCTTTATTTCTTAATGTTAAACAAATCAAAAAAATTGCTTCAGTGTTGTTACTTGGCAGATTGTTCTCCACTAATTCTGTAATACTGCTCCACCAATTAATGAGCCTCGTGTTTTATCTATGATCATTTAATTAACATTGTAATGAATTTATGAGTATAAGATAAGTTGGGGTACAATTAACATGAGACCGTGACTGATGGAGAAGCAGTGCGTGTAATTTTTAACTATTAATATAAAATATTCATGTATATTAGCCACTTGGGCTGGTCGGTACAGTGTTTTTTTTTTAGGTGAGTTAATTTATTTGGCACCCCATACCCATCTTGTGGGCGGTAGTGGAAAGGGTTACAGAGGCACATAATGGGCTCAGGGACTGAACCCCACTATTCATTTAGCTAAGCAAGTTACAATCTTGATGAGCTAGTTACAAAATTCAGTATACGTTGTCACATCATCAATGGGTTCGAGATCGACCACAAGTACAGTTTCTAAATTAAGCAACTGACATATGTGGAGAGCTAGAGTCACAATTGATATGTTTGTCCTGCACACCGCCCCTCATCTAGTGAGCAGCGGTGGATAGGTTACAATCACTTAGTTACTACCTACAGTTAGCAAACGGGATATTTGGCTAAAATTTCTGGTAGCAGATCATTTTTAATTAAATATTTACACATCTTTCAAACATTTGTTATAGAATTGTCTCTGAGTTCAAATGTGCAAATAATTTTGTTAACACAGTTTGCATTTAGTCAGGTCTACATTAGCAGATAATGAGAATTCCCAGAGATATTTGTAACCGAGTCTAAGCCGAGCAGTTGTAACATCTATTTTGCTGATTGCTGAGTCTGCTGATTTTATTAGATGATCCATAAATGTGCGGCTCCTCTTGCATGATAGTAAGACGATAGATCTCAGATCCTTGTTCTTATATCTCAGATATTTGTCCTCGTATTCCTTCCAGGTGCTGAATAGTCGTACTGGCTTATCGCTTTCTCCTCATAATTACCTTACCTTGCTGAAAACTGCATTGCTTATCAAATTACTGCAATCAATAATTTTTATGTGGGAAACATCCTTATATGAACCTTCTTAGGCTCATCCATAGTTGTAACTTACCTAATACCCATCCTGTTAGTGAGTGGAAGAACAGTTTACATTTGAAGTGAACTAGTTATATTTAATTATAATTTGAGTATCAAGCACACCACACCCAGGTGCAAAGGTTACAATCGCCTGCATGCACTACCTTCAGTAGGTAAACTTGGCTAATATTTCTGGGTGTATATCGTTTTTAATAAAATCTTTTAGATAACATTATCGCAAACTTTCAAGATATCTTTAAATTCTTTATTTTTATATTAAACAAAATTTTCTACCTCATAAAGGCTGAAGCTATGCAATCCACACGGTCACCGATCCATTTACTGCCCAGACTGAATGGTGCTTAATCTGACTGACCAACTGACATACACACACACAGGGATGGGGTATGAAGAGCGACTGAAGAAACTGAACTTGACCGCACTACAAAAAAGGAGGAAGCGGGGAGATATGATAAAAACATAAAAAATAAGGGGATTGACAGTGTAAAGTGAGTGACGAAACGTTCACACACTGAATACTAACAGAACGAGGGGACATGGGTGGAAGCTGGAAACTCAAATGAGTCACAGAGATGTTAGGAAATTTTCTTTTACCGTGAGAGAAGTGGGATAATGGAATGAACTTAAGGTTGTGAAAGCAAACTTTATTCATAATTTTGAAACTAGATATGATATGGGAACCGGCATTTTGGGGGAATAAAGTATGAAATGCGTTATAATCTGGAAGAAAATGAGAAGGTTGAAGCAGTTGAAAAACCTGATTTCAGGAGAGAACATTATGGGGAACTTTGAAATTTCTTTAAGGAATTTGACTGGAAAGACTTGCTGTTAGGCAAAGAAGTAAATGAGATGTATGTCAAATTTTGTGAAATATGTGATAAATGCACATACAAATTTATACCAAAACAGAGATGCAGAACTAGGAAACAGGATTAACAGAAATTGCGAGATGGTCAGAGACCAAAAGACACAAAATTGAATCAATATAGGAAGAAGCCAAACCACCAAACTTACCAGAAATACAAAGATGCAAGAAACAACTACACGCAGTAGAGAGAGAGGCAAAAAGAAATTTTGAGAAAGGGATAGTGGACAAATGTAAAACAGAGCCAGGCCTATTTATTCATACCTTGTATTTGTTCTTGCTTGGTTGTCGAAGATACACGCTGTAGTTCGTTTCAAAGTCTTTATTGAGTAAGGTAACTAAGATAGATGTGAAGCACTGAGGTCCTACCTAGCTCTAGGTCTGTGAAATACCGGCGGCCTTCTCTTGAGCAGGCACCCACCGCACTATGGTGTGTGACCTTATGGGCCTACTGGTCCAGGATTGGCTATACTCAAGCCGTCTTACAATTTGAAAGCTAACATATTCTATCATTTCATTAACAGCAAATTGCAGGCAAAGGAAAATATTTAAAGGTTGAAAATGGGAAACAGAATCACGGAAAATGCAAAGGAAATGTGTGAAACATTAAAAGAAAAGTTCCAAAGTATGTTTGTACGTAATGAAATCTTCAGAGAATCAGACACGATAATAATTCCAAAGAATAACGTACAGTACATAGAGGTGTCTAGAGACGAAGTGAAAAAAATGCTCAAGGAGCTAAATAAGAACAAAACAGTTGGTCCAGATGGAGTTTTACCATGGGTTCTGAGAGAATGTGCACCTGAGTTCAGCTTTCCACTTCAACTGATAATTCAGGCATCCCTGAGTGCAGAAGTTCTAGAAGATGTATGGAAAAGGGCTAAAATAGTTCCAATATACAAAAGAGGCAGCAGAGAAGACCACCTCAATTACAGACCTGTATCATTGACAAGTGTAATAGTTAAAATATTGGAAAAATAATTAAAATTAAATGGGTAGAACACCTGGAGAAAAACAAATAATATCAGACAGACATTATGGTTTTCGATCTGGAAGATCCTGTGTATCGAATTTACTCAGTTTCAATGATCGAGCAACAGATATTTTCTAGGAAAGAGATGGTTGGGTTGGCTGCATCTATCTGGACCTAAAAAAGACTTTCGACAGAGTTCCACATAAGAGGTTGTTCTGGAAACTGAAACATAGTGGAGGAGAGACAGGTAGGCTTCTAACATGGATGAAATATTTTCTGACAGAAAATGAGGGCAATAATCAGAGGCAATGTATCGGACAGGAGAAATGTCATGAGTGGAGTATCACAGGTTTCAGTTCTTGCACCGGTAATGTTCATTTATTTACTTATTTATTTACAAGAAGTTACATTTGGTTTATGAGAGTACATTGCATTGATGTTATTACATTCTTGAAAAGCCACTAACACGCATTGCGTTCTATGCATGTATACGAAGTAAAACAAAAACAAAAGACTCTGTAGAACCCCTCAAAGATGAAACTAATCAAGTTATATTGGATGATAAAAGGGCAGCAAACACTTTGAATGAATACCGTACATCAGTGTTCACACTAGAAAGATTGAACGACATCCCATTACCCACACAAATGTTTGAAGGAGGTGAAGAAAATGAATTAAGGTATATACCCATTACATGCAACACAGTCAGGAAGAGCATTGATAAACTAAAAGACTCAAGAGCCCCAGGTGTGGATGGATTTCAATCCAAAGGCAAATGCACTATACATACCACTGACTCCTTTTCAGAAAATCCCTGGACAAAGGGATAGTTCCCCTAGATTGAAAATATACAAATGTTACCCCTATGTTGGCTCCTAGGGAGCCGGTCGGCCGAGCGGACAGCACACAGGACTTGTGATCCTGTGGTCCCGGGTTCGATCCCGGGCGCCGGCGAGAAATAATGGGCAGAGTTTCTTTCACCCTATGCCCCTGTTACCTAGCAGTAAAATAGGTACCTGGGTATTAGCAAGCTGTCACGGGCTGCTTCCTGGGGGTGGAGGCCTGGTCAAGGACCGGGCCGCAGGGACACTAAAAAGCCCCGAAATCATCTGAAGATAACCTCAAGATGTTAAAAAAAGGCAGAAAGAGCTCGGCAGAAAACTACTGTCTGATCAGCTTGACATGACACATCTTCAAACTCATGGAGAGAATCCTAAGGGAGGGTACAACATCTCACAGAGAACAATCTTGTAAAATCAACGCAACATGGGTTTGTTAAAAATAGATCCAGCCTTACAAATCTACTCGCATTTTTGGAAACGGTAATCGGCTATTCAGACAAAGGACTTCGGTAGATGTAGTTGACATGGACTTTGCTGAAGCTTTTGACAAGGTACCACATGAGAGACTGGCAAGGAAATTACAGCCACATGGAATAAATGGGAGAATACTGGCATGATTAAAACGTAGAAAACAAAGTTTCATGCTAAATGGGAATGAATCTGACTGGGGAAATGTGACAAGTGGGGTCCCACAGGGGTCCATTTTGGGGCCAACCCTGTATGTCATATTCATCAGTGACATAGATGAGAATATTACAATCCACATCATCAAATTTCCAGATGACACTAAGATCTATGATAAAATGGGAGTGAAAGTGATATTGA